TGAAATATAGAGCGCACCTCTTAAATAAAGAATAAATTACGAACATATAAAAAAAAGTTAGTTAAAAGGAAGTTCCAACCCTAGATCACTAATAACACTGCAAGAGATCGGCGTTCCACTCACCTGTGTAACACATGCTGCAAGAGATCGGCGTTCCGCTTACCTGTGTAACACATGATTGGTGATGAAGCTCGTTATATCATGAATTGCAAAGACCCAAATTAAGAAATATTTTTTGAGAGAGACAATATTAAAGTTTCCTAGAGTTAAAAAAAAATAATAAGAGATCCTACTACTGTACTACTGTAAGACAGTATTGTCAATAAATATCATCGTCGGTACATGACTACATGACGAGTACCACTGCCATTGACTCAACAATTAAATTACATATTTTTTTTGTTTTATTTTCGGGTTTTGTATCCCTTAAAATGTTATTTTAAAATACACACTCATGCCATGGTAGGCATTTCGAATGCACAACACTTTTTTTTATATATATATATCCTGTAATATTTTTTTTCCTATGAGGACATACTAATAAATACACCGTTATTGCTATGTAAGTGTTTACCAAGTGGTGGTCCAGGTTGATATTCATAGCCCCTTGAAACTCTCTCGTGAAACCCGGCACATCCTGTGATAACACTTCCGGTTCGCCATCTTGGATTAGTTTACTTCCTTGAACTTTCGATGTGAGTCATCTTACTGCGTATACCGTCAATTGTTGAATTATTGTACAACGTAGGAATAATTTTACACCGTGATTGGCGACTACTGATGGTAAATGTGGTGATCGGGCTCAGTTGGAAGGTTGTTCATCAAACGAAGGGCGGTTCTGTTTCATTGGACCTATTTTGACGTGAAACCTCCCAATCAGAATTCCAAGGAAATACACGTTTGGGACGAACCGTTTGCAAAGTGGGTGTTGTTGCCTCACGTTTGCGATATGGCAGGAATGTTCGATTCGCAAGATAGAAATTCGTAAGTCTTCACTTTATTCTGTTGATGGTGTCTGCGTGTAAAGTATGTGTTCATTGCGATGTGGTGACAACTAAAGACGTAAACATCACATTGTAGATTCAAGTGTGTCATCGTAAAGACAGTCATCATCAATGGAGTGTCCACGTACATCATCTGAGTCCTAACTGTGATGCAGGAAGTTCATATGTACTGTCCTGTAATAATAACTTGGCGCAGTGATTCCGTACTTGTATCCTGTTTTATTTTCTTACTTAAATGCGTGTTAGACAAATCAGTGACAGTTATGTCATGAGGAATGGATGACCTTCGCAACCATTTCTCTAAACCATTATATCATGATTATAATTTCTGTACTAGCGTCAATCATTATTAAATTTAGCATTGGGATACGATAAGCCCTTGAATGTACATGTTAATTAAATCAAGAACAAGTATACTCCAAGTACATGTTACATTTCTAAAACCATCTACCTTAAATTACAGTGCAGCATTCATTGGTGATTCATCATTAACTCTCCCTGTTTCATTTTTGCAGTCAATAATACTAGATTTGAAGTGATATATATATTCTAGTACCTGAAATACTAATGTACAGCAGTATAATAGTTTCAGATAATCTATAGTTTGCCATTTTACAAATTTCACAAGCCACAAAATATCACATAATATTAGTTCTTGACTGTAGTCAGTTAAATTTAGTTTATTAATAATAATAATAATAATATCATATAATATTGTAGTGAAGCCAAACCTCTCTTATTTTCTCCTTAAAATTAATATATACATTTTTTAGGCTATTCTTTATTATATAATTACCTGTACTTACACCATTCATTACATGCGGGTGAGTGGTAGTACCCCGTAAAATCTGTATTAGAAGCCGCATCTCTAATAGAAGTGACACCTATTCGTTAAATTGAGAATCTAAAATTCACCATTTCTCATATGTGCAGATGCTCTAATAGAAGCCACATCCCCTCTGTTGCATTGTACTATTTTTATAGAAGCCACAGCTTCTAATACAAATTTTACAACTAATAACACCAGGACCAATGGTCTGGGGTATTGTACAATCCAATGGCAAGATTGAACTATTTTGTTATCAGGATATCACTGCACTCAGACCAGAATATACTGCAATGAACTGATAAAGCGTGCAAGGCTTTGCCGTTCACTGTCGTTCGATTGATGAATTGATTGCGGAGTAGAACACTCTGGTTTGTGGAACAGTACAGTTTTCGGCAGAAAGAAATGTTCAGTTTTGATGTATTTCATTCATCATTCTCTAATTCTGTGATGCAAATGAAATTCAATAATAATTAAATAACAAGCATAGTTAATCTTTAATTTGTTTTCTTATAATTCCAATTGAGCTGGCAGATTGGATCGGTGTGGTAGTGGAAGATTTTATGTTATGATTTATGTCCAGTATAAAGATTCTATAATTCTCATTATAATATTTTATTTTTTGTTTTCTTAAAAATGCAAGTAAAGTGTTATTACGATTCTGGTTTCTGAAAAAAACACTGAATTATATAAGTTCATTTTGTGACTAAAAAAAAAATAGCATTTAGATGTGAAAATTTTTACTGCATTCATTGAGTGAGTTGTGACTTGTGGCAGGGATTGTAATGAAAATAACAGTTTTCAGTAGATATGTTTTGTACTTTTTGAACAGCTTGAATGATAGAATAGTGCAAAAATATAAATAGGAAAACGGTAATAATCTGTTATGAGATTTGTTTACGTGACTGGTTGTGTACTCTCATTGCAGGTGGTATTTTAGAGCATTGTCCCGCACTGAAGCTCAGCGATACCTCCTGGGTACCAGACATGGACGATTTTTGGTGCGGGATAGCAAGACATGCCCAGGAGACTATGTGTTGTCAGTCAGGTGAGCATGGGCAATCTTGTTTACACACCACACTCATGACTGTCAATATTTATATATAGCAGGTTTACATATAAACTGTACAACCCATGGTTTATATGCCTGGTTCCTGGTATACTGTTCACTTCTAGCTGATTTATTTCCTTAATTCTGTCATGAAGCAAGTCTCGTGGCCAGCAGCTTCCTGAATGCCAACATTGCCAGCTAAACTGATTAAAATATCTACTAATCTTTATCTCTGTAAGGGACGACGTCAAAAGATCGATGTCGGATAAAAAACTTATTTCCTTTAGTTTGGGGGTGGGGGGTTTTAACCTCAAAAAGTTTCTATCCTACAAAAACGATTTTATTTTT